GTACATAAAGCTACAGGTGTGTATGAAATTCCACACTGCAAGTTTCCATATGTAATTTAGGTTGTATATTAGTAGTAAACTGAACATTGAAAAATGTTAAATTTTTTATTTAGGAGAGGTTAAACCAAGTTTTGATGGAGAAAAAGAAGGAAACCAGATCAGGCATGGAGATTATGAATCTACTCCAGGTACTACTACTTAGCGGTTGTTGAAATGAGTTTTTCTGAGAATAGCCACCTTTTGCCTGATGAAAGTTTTCTTGTATATATGTATGCACAGAAAGAAGGGAGACAACGTGGAACGTGGAGCGGGAAGAAAACTGACTCTGATTTCTACAAAAAGATCGTAACCACCATGACAATACTAGTTCCGTGTTACCTTATATTCTGTTGAATAATTGTTAACTTATGTAATTGGCGCAATATGATCTTGTTAGGTGGATGCATATGAGGCGAAAAATCAAGAACTAATGGCAGAGAACACTGATTTGAGGGCGTTACTGCGATCCACACAGGTCATTCTGCTATTCCTTTTTCTTCCCATTCGGAAAAAAAATCACTTGTGGAAGAGAAATTTATTGAAGACTGATCATTTTGATAGGGAGACATGCGTTCTTTCTTGAATGCTAATGGAAGTCACAGCGCAGACCCTTCTCAATCTCCTTTGGGCGGGAAGACGGTACATGGATTTCATTATAAGCTAAATTCAAGATTCAATTTATTCCCATTGCGCATACATAAACCAAAACACCTGTATATATCAACAAGAAAGAATATTTGTATTGACAGGACGTTTTCGACCTACCTTTTCGTATGGCTCGAGGTCAAATAGAAGATAGTTTACGCTCTAAGATGGTTTCAATCAAGGTAAAAAATTCTAACCCGAAGTTACACTTTCGAGCTATTTATATAGCTTCTCATATGTAGTAACATGTTCATTTGTTTCGGTTAAATGAAGGAACGTATGGGTCAGTTAGTAGACGCACAAAAAGAAGTAACAATTACTTCAGAAGCGACAGAGAGGGAACTTGAACTTGAAGCACAACTAGTCGAGGCACGCAGCATAATTCAAGAACAGGTATCTTATTTACAAAAAAGATTATAAAGCATTCGTATTGGATTTTCTTAATTACTATGATCATCCAGAAACATTCACACAAATTTACAATCTTTTTTTTTTTTTGATGTAGGAATCTATAATGTCTAAACATTTACCTAAGACAGAGCGGAGAAGAAACTCAGCTCCTCCACAATCTGTCAATGGATTTCGTGGCTGACTTATTGTGAATCTCTCTGGTGCAAAAGATCAAATCTTTTAGCAAAGAAATGTCTTTCTAATCAATTTTACAGTAATATAACAAGATATTTTTGATATATAATTATTTAATGAATGTGGATTCGTATTTGTTACATTGTACAGAAGAACTTCTCGGGTTTATTTTGCACACAATTTCATTAAAAATTCATCTGAACTTCCATTAAAAGTTCATGTAAACATTCATATAAGTTCTTCATTAAGAAGTTATAAACATGGGAAATTGGCATGAATAAAATAGACTTCTAATTAGCGGAATAGAATCACAACCTATGTTGCATGGGATTAGAAGCAACTACGCGGGAACGAAATAGAAGGAACCATGATTTCAATTTTTATTTTTTTAGGGGTACTTGTCGGCG